GCTTTGTCAGATAACTTTTACGTGCTCGAGTACGCGCCAAGCGATCTCCTGACCTCAGTGGAAAGTGAGAGAGAAAAACCCATCCAGCATCCAAAACATCCATGAATAGATAACATGGCCAGTAAAACAATCATTTCGTGAGCAAATTGAGTGATTTCCAGCGGAAAACAACATCCATTTGAATCCGTAGTCGTTCGCTATAGCTCGCCGTGCGAATCATTTAAGCCCGCGGTAATAATCAATCAATCGGCGGTTTTAACCTAACTGTTATGAATTAAAAGAAAATGTTTACGACCCATCGAAGGACTGCTGACCGAACGATTGAAGTGTTTCTTCTCCAACTAACTGCTATAACTCATTCTGGCTACGCTATCACTCGCTAAAAATGACGCTGCAGGAAACAGGCCCATAATCAAGGAAAATGTGGTACAGGTAGTATCAGTTGAATTCTTTCGCTGTAACCACTTGACGGGTAACCCAAAGTAGAAAGGTTCGACAAGTAAACCAACACCAAGATCAGGGACAACAAGATTCAGAAGCAATGTTTTCAGAGGCTTTGGTAACGAGGAAGTTTTGCTTAGCGCCTGGATTGTGGTGCCATTCAAGATGATGGCGGCGATGGCTTAGAAAGCGTTGAACACACAATGGCCAGTTGCCTCTACGAGATCTACATGCAGGGAATCATAGCAGTTGTAAAAAATACATGCGGAAAAATGCACTGCAAAGTTTAATAACATCTGTGTTCATGCCTTTTTCAAGCCAGTTTNNNNCATGCAGGGAATCATAGCAGTTGTAAAAAATACATGCGGAAAAATGCACTGCAAAGTTTAATAACATCTGTGTTCATGCCTTTTTCAAGCCAGTTTGGAAGAAAATTATTAATTAACAGACCCACAATCGCATGTGACGCCTTTACTCAGCTGTGATTTGGAATGACATTTCGCAGCATGTCCAAGACAGCGCGTCGAATGTGTCTCATCTTCCAGCAGTAAATAACAGGGTTTAAAGATGAATTGAGAAATAACAAGGTGATTGAAGACATGGAAAAAACTTTTACCCCGGCACTTAAGTCGCAGATTGCAACGACAACAAAATTGGATATCTGCGGAAGATAACAAAGCAAAAACACTAGATAAACGTAAAATACACCAACTGCAGATTTTCTCAGCATAGCAGCATTTGCTATTTGGCCAATCTGTGCTACTTGTTGTACCTGTAGGGCTTGAATTTGATTTCTATGGCGCCGTACAGCAAAATAAATCTTGAAATAAAGCATCGCTGAGACTACGAGGCAAGCTACTCCACTAACGGCAAACACTATGTGAGAAATATTCGTGGAGACCCACAAGTAAAGTAA